ATAGCTTTCCCTGCACTTGCTTTTTGAATTGCATATTGACTTAAGAACTCAACTTCCAGCTTAAGAGCAGTCTATTGTCCTGGATGAGAGTGTCTGTTTGCCTTAATTCTTATCATGTCAGAATTACATGGTAGGATGGGACAGTATGCTAAATCCTTTGCTTCATGCCTTCCAATGCCAAGGGAGAACTTGCTAGTTTATCTGCCTGAGGCCAACTGGCCATGTACATCTGCTGTGGCCTCTTCTCGTTGAGGGAGAGCAAAGGAAGGCATGGAAAACCCTTTGGGGATGCGTGCCTCACCTGTAATTTTTACTTTGGAATAGCCCTTAGAGTCCCCACAACAGGTGTGGACCTAGGGAGTCAGGTTTGCTGCAAAGTGACCAAGACTCCTTGGCCTCAGAGTGGACCAGGCATGGATGCCTGACTCCAGCTAAGCCAAGTAGATCTATTCTCCTGAAAATCTGAACTGATGGAAGGAGAGTTTGGGAAGCAGTGGAACTATGAGATACTGTGAGATCCAGGCCAGAGCTGGTGCTGTGGAACACAAAGTCAAGGGCAAGTCTAAATTATGGAGTAGACAGGCACCGGGAGCCTTTTAGAGGATGCTCATCTGCAAAGGGAGAGAGAGGAATACCCAGAAAGAGGAAGGCAGGGGTGGAGAATGGTCTGCCTCCAGAGGGAGCTGGGTAGCTGCCTATTCTATGTTTCTATGAGAGTCCTCTGATCCTGACACTAATACTCCTTTTCTTTACTTATTTAATGCCATTCCACAAATCCTGAGCATTTGGATTATAAATATATGGGCCACTTATACATTGGGGATGAAAGCATAAAATCATATACAGCAGTCCAGGGAACACAGTCTATTGGAGCACAATTGGGCTCTATCTCCTCGGATTAAATATTCACATGTTCTGTGACGGAGTGATTTCACTCCTTCTGCACCAGGAAAAGCTCCTTCTCCCCAAGAAAAGCTCCTGAACAATCGACAGGGTTGTTCATATCAGCATTGCTTTCCAGACCCAAGTCCGGATACCCCTCAGTGGGAGAGTGGATGCATCAACTGTGCTATAATCACACCGTGAGTACTGGTCAGCAGCCCACACCATGAATTTCAAGGACCTGTCACAACACGGGGGAACATCAATGGCATAACAGGAAGTGAAAAAGCACAAGGCTGGGACCGTGTTTGTTTGGTTCTCGGCTCTGACCCCCTCATAGGGACACGCCTGCTCAGTAACTATCGCTCACATGAATGAGTAGGAGGAACAGAGCCTGCGTGGGGAATTGTCGATTAAACCACCGGAGGGCGGAGACACGGTGGCCTCTTCTCCTCGCCTTCTATTGCCCACCCCCTTTGTCCTTTCCTTCCACTCTCCACGCCCACTTTCCCCCACCCCCCATAGATGACCCAGTCCTATTTTTTAGATTTGCTGTAATTTTTCACTGACTCTAGATCCTTGGACTCTGATTTAAATAGCCTGAGGTTGGGCCCCTAGCATCTGGCATTTAAAAAAATAGCAGGTGAGGGGCGCCTGGGTGGCTTAGTCGGTTAAGCGTCCGACTTTCGCTTAGGTCATGATCTCACGGTTCGTGGGTTCGAGCCCCGCGTCGGGCTCTGTGCTGACTGCCAGCTCAGAGCCTGGAGCCTGTTTCAGTCTGTGACTCCCTCTCTCTCTGACCCTCCCCTGCTCACGTTGTCTCTCTCTCTCTCTCTCCTAGAAATAAATAAAACATTAAAAAAAAAATAGCAGGTGATTCCAATGTGCTGCCAGGGTCACACAATTCCTTTCCTGGGGGTGTGGCTGTGGTGTTGTTTTTTTGTTTTTATATGGGCCTGTGTTAAAAACTCAGCAAATGAGAACTAAGGGCAAGTCTGCTGGGAAAGGCTTCTCAGACAGATTCCTTTCTCTTAGGAGGCACCCCCATATATATCCACATATGTTTCTGCCTAAGCAACTCTGGGGGATTCGCGCGAAGGAGGAGGCATCACTGGTAGCTGCTAGAAATGACTGCAGCACAGGGGCTATCAGGAGAAGCCTACTATTGTCCAGGAATGCCAGTGTTGCCCCAGATGCCTCCAACCCTTGGGGTGCCCGAAGGCCATGGGGTTCAGGGGAGAGAGGGGGAGCGTGGTCTCAGCCTAGCTCTGAGTCACACTTCCCTGCTGGGCTCCGTACAACCTGAGCTCAGAGGTGCAGGAAGTTGCCCCTCTGTGGACGCCACGTCCTGCATCTGCCTGCAAGCATGGGATCCAGTGAGGGCATCATGTACCCTCTCCATTGTCTCTCTCTCCTCCAGTCGTACCTGCCTGCTGCCCTGCTCACTTCTCTGTTCCTTAAGGTTCCTGTCTTGGGCCCTGTTCCCAGGAAGCAGAACCAGAGACAGGGATTCCTGTTTGTGTGATTTATTAAGAGAGTGAAGGAAGCAGGATGGGGCAGAGAATAACAGTCAAGACAAGAACATGGTCTCAGCTGGGGCATCTGCGTGGCTCAGTTGGTTAAGCATCTGACTTCGGCTCAGGTCATGACTTCACGGTTCGAGAGTTCTGACCCCAAGTCGGGCTCTGTGCTGACGGCTCAGAGCCTGGAGCCTGCTTCAGATTCTGTGTCTCCCTCTCTCTCTGCCCCTCCCCTGTGTACTCTCTGTCTCTCTCTCAGAAATGAATGAACATTAAAAAAATTTTTTTTAAAGAACACAGACAGGTCTATTTGCTCAAGTAAGGTCTATGGCTGCTTTTGCCCTACAATTCTGCAGATGAAATTCTCCCCTTTAATTTTTTTTTAAGATTTAATTTTTAAGCAACCTCTACACCCAACGTGGGGCTCAAACTCACAATCTCAAGATCAAGAGTCACATGCTCCACTGACTGAGCCAGCCAGGGGCCCCAACATCTTCCCTTCAAATGCTTCCCTCACAAAGATGTGGCCGGGAATACTGTGAAGTTGATTTAAACCCTACTTGTGTGCATGAAGTAGGAATGGGTCCTTGTGTAGTGCTTTCCTCTAGGCTTGTGATGATACTGTGTGGGTGGGAGTTGTTAATTACTCTCTGGCCTAATTTACCTTAGAGGAGAGCTGACTCAGGGATTAAGGCTGGAGAAGCTTTTTCCAAGATCAACATCCCCAACTGGCCTGAGGTGATTATTGCAGATCCCAGGGACTCTCAGCCCCTCCTGGGTTCAGAACCTAATCCTTACTCACAGCTGTGGACAGGAGTGGTTGCTGGGCTTCATTAGGAAGCAGTGTGGTTTCCCCAACGCTTCAGTCCTTGGGGGGCATCTGAAAGGGAATCAAGCCTTCCGTATGACAGTTGTGCCGTCCCTGGTGTATCTGAAAGAGAAGTAAGCACTTCTTAGATCAATATTTTCAAGGCTGTTCAGATCCAAGCCTCTGCCTGGAGGCTACGACTGGGGATTCACTACTTTTCCAGCTTCTCTCTCTCCAGGGTGGCTATGAACTTGAACCCTTGTAATAAATAGCTTACATTTTTTTCTTCTTGGAAATTTGTGTAAATGTGTTATTATGACGGGGGAAGATGGGATAATGATAGATTTAAAACTGGACACCTGTGGTGCCCATTCCTTTACAGCTGAATTTCTCAATCCTTTTTTCATGACTGCCCTTACTTAAGGAGTCTTTTTGGACTATTCTTCGCAATCATGAAATTTTAATACCACAGATATCCTATATATCTATTTATGCACTATATGTAGATCTGTTTTATACATAAAAAGAATAGGATTTTTTGCCCCCTTGGGGGGGATATGTCCCCCACTGAGGATACGTGCTTTACAAATAGTTCATAGCCGCCCCCCGGCAGCCTCCACCGTGTAAAAGCAGGAAGCAGGCAGTCTAGCAGGTGCTTTGAGGAGTGTGAGCTAATCATGTACACTGTGTTTCACAAAGTGCTTGGCACATGGCAAGTGCTAGAAAAAAGAAAGCTTTTGTTGTTGCTGTTGTTGCCATTATTATTATATTAAGCTTGGGTCACAGTGATGTTTGTAACCCCCGTCTCTGGACTGTGGATTCCCATGGTGCTTGAGGGCTGGCCAGAGGTCCAAGGTATTCCAGGCTGGAACTTCCACCAAAGGCACCACCAGGTACATAAGGACGTGGACCAAGCCGGATGGGGACTGTGCCCAGTGGACAGGCTGAGATGCCCCAATTACACATGGGACCTGGGCTCCAGGTACAGCCAACGTAAAGGGGTCTAGTGGCCTCTTAAACTTCTCTTTTCTCAGAAGCTGGGAACTGGATTTCCAGTTAAATCTCCTGATTTTTAAGCACCGACTCCATTAAACATCAACAATTATGCTGTGTGGACGGAACAAAACACACGCAACCAAGTCATACTGGCTTGTCCAGGGTTAATCGCATAGCTGGGATTCCCATCCAGGTCTTCTGCATTCAGTGATCCTCCCACTCAACCCAGCTCCCCTCTACCGCTCACGACCCTCCTCACTGCACTCTTCTTTGGGGGTCCTCCAATGTCTCTTCTTCCAGGCCCTCCTGCCAGGGGAAGGGGCCCCAGGCTGGGCCATTCGGGGGTTGGGACGAATGGGTCCAGCTCCCTCTCACCCCTTCCCCCTCCCCGCCCCCTTCCCAGAAGGACGTGGATTCTGCCTGCGGATGATAAGGTTGGGACCCCCAGCCTTACTCACCGCGGGAGCTGTGAGTGGGGGCCCCGCCCGGGGGGACTTGGGTCGGGTGTCCGGCAGCGTGAGAACGCAGAGCCGGCGGGCGTGAGGCAGGCGGGGCCCCGGCGACCTCACCACCTCGGGACGAAACGCCCCGTTCGTTGTTCGCGCCGCCCCTCTGACCTCGCCACCCCGGGCATTGTTCTCTGTTTGCCTGGGTCGCGGGTGGGAGGCGAGGCACGCGGGGGTTCCGGAGCCTGGCTCCACGCCAGGCCTGCGGCCTTCGGCCCTGGGGCCACTGGGGCGGCCGCGCCCGCGAGCTGGAGGCGAGCGGGGCCGGACGGCTCAGCAGGCGCAGCCATGGGCTCCCTCGGCTCGCACGCCGCGCGCATCCCCGACGCGGACAGCATCCGGCAGGAGACCGGCTGTGAGCGCGGCGCCGGGTTCCGACCCGGGGACGCGGGGCGGGGGGGCTGGGGCGGCCCCGGAGGGCGCCCCGGATCGCAAGCGCGGGCACCCGGGGCTCCCGGCGTCCAGGTCTGGGGCCCGTCCGCGGCCCCGGGGCTTGGCAGCCCGGCGAAGGCAGGCGGCCAGGTGTCCTCGAGCCCGGCAGGGCTGGGGGGTGGAGAGGGAGGGGGCTGGCCTCGGCGCCTCGGGCCCCGGCCGGCCGGAGCGCGGGAACATGGCTCCGGGCGTCGTCACGCCCCCTGCAGCCCCGCCGCGCGGTCCCGGGTCCCCGGCGAGCGCCCCCTCCGGCGAGTCCCAGTTCCTCGGCCGCGGCCCGGGGCCGCCGGGGGAGGGTCCGGCGGCGGGTCGCCGACGCCCGCGCGTCACCCTTCCGCCTTGCGTCCCGCAGTCTCGCAGGCCAGTCTCCTCCGCCTCTACCACCGGTTTCGGGCTCTGGACAGGAACAAGAAGGGCTACCTGAGGTGAGGGGCGCCGGCCTTCGGACCCGCCACCTCGGCCTCTCTGAGCCCCTTCCTCTCTTTAACCCTCCGCCCCCGGTCTTTGCCCTACCCGTCCGTTTACTCGACAGCCGCGTGGACCTGCAGCAGATTGGGGCTCTGGCCGTGAACCCTCTGGGAGAACGCATTATAGACAGCTTCTTCCCTGATGGGTGAGGCCTCGCTGCGGGTGGGGACATGGGGAGAAAAACTTGGTTGGGGGTGGCTAACGGAGGCAGAGGAAGGGCCCAGGCCACCACTGCCTCTGCTTCATCCCCCCCACCCCAGGAATCTGCGACTGGATTTCCCAGGCTTTGTCAGGGTCCTGGCTCATTTTCGACCTGTCGATGATGAGGACCCAGGAATGCGAGACCCCAAGGAACCTGAACCCCTCAACAGCAGAATGAACAAACTTCGCTGTGAGTTTGTGGGGACCCACTCCTCCCCAAGCGAGACCCTAGCTACACTGCACCGGTGAGATGCCCCGGGCACCTCCTTCTCACAGCGAGCCTGTCTATAGAGGACCCCTCCTCCAGGGTGACCTTCTGCTGGAAGAGAACCAGGGAAAACCCACCTACCCTCTCCCCCCTCCATTCTCTTCCAGTCGCATTTCAGCTCTATGACCTGGACCGGGACGGAAAGATCTCCAGGCACGAGATGCTACAGGTTGGAAGGACGCAAGGCCAGAGACGTGATGTGTGGAGCGTGGGTGGTCCAAGGGAAGGGTTGTGGGGGTGGGGGGTGGGACAGATGACTGGCCCATGGTGGTCGCAGGTGACTGGGGTAGTCAGTGGGAGACAGGGATTGGGTGAGGTTTAGTTTGGAAATGGGACAGGGAACAGTTGGGTATGAGGTTCGAAATAGATTCTTTTTTTAAGTTTATTTATTTAGAGTCTGTGTGCACAAGTGTGATTGGGGGAGGGGCAGAGAGAGAGAGAGAAAGAGCTCAACGTGGGGCTTAATCTCACAAACCGTGAGATCATGACTTGAGCCCAAACCAAGAGTAGGTCGCTCTTCCCGGACTGAGCCACCCAGACGACCCAATAGATCAGTGCTTCTTAACTGGGGGGTAATCTTGCCTTCTGAGTGACCTTGAGGATATCTAGAGATATTTTTGGTTGTCACACCTGGGGGAGGGGACAGTATGACTGGCATCTAGTGGGCAGAAGTAAAAAATGCTGCTAAACATCTTTCAGTATGCAGGATAGCCCTCATTTCCCCCCACAATAAGGAGTTATCTGGCCCCAAATGTCAACAGTGCTGAGATTTAGAAACTCTGGAATAGATGTTGTGATGGGGGATGGGAAGAACTGGGAATAGTGGGGAGTTGTGGTGGGGGATGGGAAGAGGTTGGGTTATAAAGCTTGGGTTTGGGTCATGAGTTTGGGCATACTGTTGAGGTGAGTGTGGAATAGTGAGGGATGGGTGGGGGTTTGAGTGGAGAAGCAGTAGCGGAAACTGGGGGGGATATGGCGGGGAGTGAAGAAATGGATGAGGGAGAGATTACGAAATTGGGAGTAACATTTGGGATGATGTGGGCAAGGTTTGAGGGATTTGGCTGACTCCTTTTGTGTATGTCTGTGCCCTCGGCTCCTCCCAGGTCCTCCGGCTGATGGTTGGGGTGCAGGTGACAGAAGAGCAGTTGGAGAGCATCGCCGACCGCACGGTGCAGGAAGCGGATGAAGATGGAGACGGGGCTGTGTCCTTCCTGGAGTTCACCAAGGTCAGAATGCCCGTAGGCCTGGGGAGTTGACGTCAGGAGTCCCTAGGACAGATGGACATGGGAAAGGCAGTTGGAAGGAGATGGGCAGAAGGAGAGGGGTAGCCAAGGAAGGGTGTGGCTTTGGGGATGGGAGAGGAGGTTGAAAGCCTAGAGGACTGGGCTCTTGACTACCACCCATCCCCCCCCCCCCCCCCCCAGTCCTTGGAGAAGATGGATGTCGAGCAGAAAATGAGCATCCGGATCCTGAAGTGACCCCTCTTTGTGCCTTTGGCTGGTTTACACAGACCAGTTNCCCCCCCCCCCCCCCCAACAGTCCTTGGAGAAGATGGATGTCGAGCAGAAAATGAGCATCCGGATCCTGAAGTGACCCCTCTTTGTGCCTTTGGCTGGTTTACACAGACCAGTTCGACCTGGGATTTGTCTTCAGCCCTGCAGAGGCAGGTCCCCAGTAAACTGTATTCTTGTGTCTAAGCTAAACTCTATTTAGGGCCAAGGAAAGAAAGCTGGAGGAGTGTGTACTGAATAAACTCTAGCTCATTTGATCTCAGATTCGTGAATCAGCGATCTTGTGGTTGCAAGCCACTGAAAACCCAATTTATGGTGACTTAAGTAAAAAAGGAATTTTATGGACTTCATTCATTTAATTACTTCATGTAATTAAAAGTTTGAAAGTATCTTCAGAATACTGGAAAAATCTGGAGTATCTTCAGACACAGTTAGCTTCAAAGGGCTTCTGTGATGCCATCAGGACTCAGTTATTCCTCAATCAGCTTTCTTTTGTGTTTGCTTTATTCTCAGGACGGCTCTTTCCTCATGGGGGAGGACTCTTTCCTCATGGGGAGGATGGCCACAAGCAGCTCCAGGCTTCCACCCTACTAGCCTAGTGATCAAGTGGGAAGGGATTTCCTTTTCCAGTAATTCTAAACAAAGAGTGTCATTGCCCTATATGGGTTCTTGTCCCCAACACCAGGGAAACGGAGTGCTCTAATTGGCCTGGCCTATGTCATGTGCTAACTGCTAAAGCCAGGAAATAAAGCCTGAAGAGTCAGGGTGGGGTAAGGAGTAGTTGCTTCAAGAAAAATGAAGTGTCATGATCAGAAGAAGGGGAATGATGCCAGTCAGGCAAAACAAGAGATGTCCATTACTGTTAGGTTGACCCAATGGAGGGATTTTTGAAGTCTGACTTTCTAAATGGGTTTTCACTGATTCCGTGGGTGCATGCCAGTGTGCTGGTGGTGGGCAGGTGGGGGAAGAGATGATGTAAAAGTAATAAACAACATGTATCTTCCTAGGGTATGAAATTATTCAAAGATTTGGAGAATAATTCCATTTTTTCATGATAAGATGTTCAAATATTGATACATCACAGAATAGAGTATAAAAAATCACATAAAACTGGGAGATTCTGGGGCACCTGGGTGGCTCAGTTGGTTGAGCACACCACTCCTGATTTGGGCTCAGGTCATGATCCCAGGGTCAAAGGATTGAGCCCTGCACTGGGCTCCATGCTGAACGTGGAGTCTACTTAAGGTTCTCTCTCTCCGCATATGCTCTTCTCCCCTGCTCTTTCTCTCTCTCTTTCTCTAAAAAACAAAAAACTAAAAAACCTGTGAGATTCTATGTCTATAGCAAAGTGCTCTGGCCATACCTATAGGAGAGGCTGTTGGTGCCCTGCTCATACCACCTTCCAGTGCTGTGCTGGACTTCTCTGGTATCAACACGTGAGGGTCAACCATGGCTTATGGCTTCCAGCTCTGCTTTCAGTGATATCATATTGGTGGCTTGAATTGGCTGTAGTGGGGATGTTTACAGCATGGACATTGGCAAATGCAACAGATCAGGGCTTTTCTGCTGAGGTGAGCCCATTGTTAAACATTTATCAGCATACCACCCGCTTGGCGTTCACCCTTACTGTACATGTTAGTGGCTTCTATTTTATATCAGCTTTATTGAATTGTAATTGATGTACAAAAACCTGCACATAATTCATATATACAATTTGATGAGTTTGGACATAGGTATACACTCATATTACCATTACCAGATTCAAGGTAATAAACATCCATCATCTCCTAAATTTCCTGTATCACTTATGGTATTTGTGTGTGTGTGTGTGTGTGTGTGTATGTGTGTGTGTGTTTAGAACACTTAACATGAGGTCTACTGGCTTAACAAATTTTGAAGTGTACAAAACCATATTATTAACTATAGGCACAGAAGATTTCTGGGACTTGTACTCATCTTCGATAACTGTAACTTTATACCTGTTGAACAATAGCTTCCCTTATCCCCCCCCCATCCTTTGATAATGACCATTCTATTGTCTACCTGTATGCATTTGACTTTGAGATGCCTCATATGAGAGGAATCATATGGTATTTGTCTTTCTGTGACTGAGTTGTTTCACTGAGCATAATACCCTTTATGCCCATCCACATTGTCACAAATGATAGAATTTCTTTCTTTTTAAAGACTGAATAATATTCCATTGTATGCATATGCTACTTTTTCTTTATCCACTTATCTGTGCCAGTGGATATTTGGGTTGTAAATAATCTTGCAATGAACATGGGATTCCACTTCTCTCTTTGAGATAGGAAATTCATTTCCTTTGGAAACATACCCAAAACTGAGGTTGGTGGATCCCATGGTAGCTCTATTTTTTTATTTTTTGAGGAAGCCGATGGCTTCTTCCTACAGCACAGATGATACTCTACCCATGGGCTTTGTCTGGCATAGGCATGTACTTAGCTCATGTGGGGGCAAGTTGAAGTGCTGGGGAGTTAATGGCCCCAGGAGCAGCTCTCAGCCAATGGCAGGTGGAGATTGGCAGATAAATACCCAGTTTTTCCACCCATCCACTGGACAGTTTAGAGGCATGTTCTCGTCACTCTTGAAATCTCTAGCAGGATTGAGCCCCGGTTACCCACAGCGTGGGGCTGCTTGTTAAAGCACCCTGTATTGGCTCCTTTCTCTCAGTCTCATCCCCACTCTCTGACTGCTGCCTCCTGGATCCTCTCACAGATAAACAATTTGCCCTCCAATCCTTTTACAGGGCACTTCTAGGGAAACCCAACTGAAGATGTACGAGACTGTCCAGAATGTACATTCACACTGTGGTTGGGGGCACTCAGAGTGCCCCCTTTATTTTAAACTTTAGAGAAATAGAGAGGAAATGGGGTGGGGAGAGGGAAAAGGGATATGGAAGGAGGGAGAGATAGCTTTCTTTTTTTTCCAGCTTATTTACATATTTTGAAAGAGTGAGAGCACACACAAGCAGGGGAGGGTCCGGGAGGGAGGAGAGAAGAAATCCCAAACAGGCTCCGTGCTGTCAGCACAGAGCCTGACATGGGGCTCAGTCCCATGAACTGGAGAACATGCCCTGAGCTGAAGTCAAGAGTCATTCACTTAACTGACTGAGCCCCAAGATATCTTTTTTTTTAATGTTTTTTTTGAGACACACAAACACGCAGAGTGTGAGCAGAAGAGGGGCAAAGAGAGAGGGAGACACAGAATCCAAAACAGGCTCCAAGGTCTGAGCTGTAAGCACAGAGCCCAACACGGGGCTTGAACTCATGAGCCATGAGATCATGACCTGAGCTGAAGTCGGCCACTTAATTGACTGAGCCACCCAGGCATCCCAAGATATCTTTCTTTATAGCAGGTCTTTTTTCCATTATAGTTTCTCAAATTTTCCTGATGGTAAATATCTGATTAAAAAGTGTAGGCCCCATTTGAGAGCTTCTGAATCTACAGGGAAATTCATATTTTTAGTATGTGATTCTGATGGAGGTTGAAGGACTAAACTTTTAGAAATACTAAAGCTTCTGGCCAGACTCCTAGTAACAGCTCTCTATTAAAAGTTATGCTGAGCGAAATAAGTCAGGCAGAGAAGGACAAATATCATATGTTTGCACGTATAGGAGGATTAGGAGGAACTTGACGGAGGAACAAGGGGGAGAAGAAGGACGGAAATGGTGGGGAAAAGGGAGAGAGGCAAACCATGAGAGACTCTTGAATGCTGACAAAAACTGAGGACTGATGGATGTGGGGGGGAGGGGGGGATGGGCATGGAGGAGGACACTTGTGGGGATGAGCACTGAGTGTTATGTGGAAACTAATTTGACAATAAACTATTTGTAAAAAAAAAAAAAAAAAAAAGTTCTCCAACATCCAGGGGTGTGTGGGTGGCTTGGTCAGTTAAGCCTCTGACTTTGGCTCAGGTCATGACCTTGAGGTGCTTTGGATTCCGTCTCCCTCTCCTTCTGCCCCTCCCCCACACCCCCAGAGACATGCTCTATCTCTGTCTCTCTTTCGCTGTCTCTCTCAAAGGTAAATAAACATTAAAAAAAATATTCTCCAACATTCATAAAACATGGAGCATTCCCCTTGCCCACAGGCTCTTGGGAAGGCCTCCCCACAATTCATGACCACTCATGCTCTATGCCCATGGTCAGTGCTAGTGACCCAACAAGGGTTCCTGGAGAACCCAGTATGAGGGGGTCCCCATGACTCTACTCCCTATTCTGGTGGATGGAAGGGCACATTAGCAAGAAACCCTCCTGATCCAGCCCAAACTCAGGAGGTTGGAGACTTTTGTCATGGGGGAAGGGGGGCGTTAGGCTGGCTGGGGTAGCACTGGCTTACCTTACCCTCTTAATATCAGCTCTGATGGAGTTGCCTGTGGATACGCTCATTGAAGAGGAGGAGGGAGCCTGGTGACCGCTGTGGGGAGCCCCTGGGCTCCGAGCAGCAGTTGCTGAATTTAAGTGATTTGTTTGCCACCTTGATTATTATTGCCATACAGTACCTAGGCTCTGTCATTATTCATTTATTTGCCTATAAACAGACTCATTTAAAATGGATACATTTGGGGTGTCTGGGTGGCTAAGTTAGTTAAGCATCCAATTCTTGATTTCAGCTCAGGTGGTGATCTCACAGTTTGAGCCCAGCTTCAGGCTCCATGCTGGCAGTGCCGATCTTGCTTGGGATTCTCTCCCCCCTGCCCTTCTCCTGCCTACACTCTCTCTCTTTCTCTCTCTCTCTCTCTCAAAATAAATAAACTTAAAAAAAATAAAAATAAAACAGATACGTTTGAGCTTATAAAGGAAAGTGACATCACTGCTGTAAATTAGACACCAGCACCAATTGTCATAAGTTAAATAACTGTACAAAAGCAGTAGATACAAAGAACCCCCCAAAAATGTCAGAAAGGGAGATTGGCACGTGCTGAAGAGTTGTAAAAGCAAACTGACACCAAAC